GGACCCTATTTTTTCTATAGAAAAAAATGGACCCAAGGTTCTTCAGAATTTTGTTCTTTAGAAAAAAGATCGAACCAAGTTCTTGAGAATTTTTTACGATAGAAAAAATTGTCCCAAGGGTTTCAAAAATTTTTTCTATAGAAAAAATCAAACACAAGGGTCTTGAGAATTTTTTCGATAGAAAAAAATGGAACCAAGCTTCTTGAGATTTTTTTTTCTATAGAAGAAAATGGAACCAAGTGCCTTAACAGTGCCTTGTCTGATAGAAAAAAAAATCGACCCAAGGGTTTTCAGAATTTTTTCGATGGAAAAAATCGACCCAAAGGTGTTGAAGAAAAGAAAAAAATCGAAAAAAGGCCTTAAGATTGGAACCAAGGGTCTCAGAAAAATTGGGATCAACGGTCTCAGAATTTTTTTTCTATAAAAAAATTTGACCAAGGGTCTCAGAAATTTTTTTCTATAAAAAAATTGGACCAAGGGTCTCAAATTTTTTTTCTATAGAAAAAAATGGACCCAAGGATCTCTAGAATTTTTTCCGATAGAAAGAAATCGACCCAAGAGTCTCCGATTTTTTTCCGATTTTTTTTCTATAGAAAAAAATCGACCCAAGGGTCTTGAGAATTTTTTCCGATGGAAAAAAATCTACCCAAAGATCTTAAAAAAAGAAAAAAATTGAAAAAAGGTCTTAAGATTTTTTTCTATAGAAAAAAAAAATGGAACCAAGGGTCTCAGAAATTAGTTTTCTATAAAATAAATTGGACCCAAGGGTCTCAGACTTTTTTTCTATAGAAAAAAAATGGTCCCAAGTATCTCTCGAATCTTTTCCGATAGAAAGAAATCGACCCAAGAGTCTCCCGATTTTTTTACTGATATAAAAAAAATCGTATCAAAAATTCGAGAGATCCTTGGGACCATTTTTTTTCTATAGAAAAAAGTCTGAGACCCTTGGGTCCAATTTTTTTTATAGAAAACTAATTTCTGAGACCCTTGGTTCAAATTTTTTCTATAGAAAAAATCGACCCAAGGGTCTTGAGAATTTTTTCCGATGGAAAAAATCTACCCAAAGGTCTTAAAAAAAAGAAAAAAATTGAAAAAGGTCTTAAGATTTTTTTCTATAGAAAAAAATTGGAACCAAGGGTCTCAGAAATTAGTTTTCTATAAAAAAAAATTGGACCCAAGGGTCTCAGACTTTTTTTCTATAGAAAAAAATGGACCCAATGATCTCTCGAATTTTTTTCCGATAGAAAGAAATAGACCCAAGGGTCTCCCGATTTTTTTTCTGATATAAAAAAAAATCGTATCAAGGCCCAAATTTTTTGTATTGAAAAAAATCGAGCCAAGGCCCTGAAATTTTGTTGTCGATTTTTATTTTGGAAAAATTTGAATTTTTGATTCTGCCGATTTTTTCTTCTCATCTCCGATGAATCTTTTATTTATTTATTGTTTATTTTTTTCTTCTTCTTCCAATTTCAAAGTCAATGTCAATATTTCTTTGTAGCTTTCAATAACTATTACCCACACACACACATGCATACCAAATTCGTATTTAATTTCAGGTTTTTTTCCTTTAATTACCAATCTTTGATTCATAACCAGTCAAGAGTCAAAATTATTGTGTAGGCTTACGATTATAACCCCATGAACAATTTCGTTGCCAACCTCAGTCATTAATCTCAATTCAAAATGAATTTATTGCACCTATTTTCTTGAGGAGCACTAACAACCACCACTACCTCTCAATCAGATTATGAACAAATCTCTATAGACGTCCTGACCATTCTTGAATAATGTTCTGCTGCATTGCTTCAACCTGAGGTCCTTTGGCAAGACAGAACAAAAAAAATAATTTATGTGCGAATCACAAAATATTCTTGGGTGTGTACGCAAGGCAACACCATTTCCAAGGGCAAAAAAAATCCGCAGAGGATTTTTTTTTTCATAAAAGAAAAAAATGTCAAAGGCTGAGGATGATTTTTTATCTTGGGTCCAAATTTTTTCTAAAGAAAAAAATCGCAAGACCCTTGGGTCCAAGTTTTTTCTATAGAAAAAATTCGCAAGACCCTTGGGTCCAAGTTTTTTCTATAGAAAAAAATTCGCAAGACCCTTGGGTCCAAGTTTTTTCTATAGAAAAAAATTCGCAAGACCCTTGGGTCCAAGTTTTTTCTATAGAAAAAAATTCGCAAGACCCTTGGGTCCAAGTTTTTTCTATAGAAAAAAATTCTCAAGACCCTTGGGTCAAGTTTTTTTCTATAGAAAAAAATTCTCAAGACCCTTGGGTCAAGTTTTTTCTATAGAAAAAATTTCTCAAGACCCTTGGGTCAAGTTTTTTCTATCGGAAAAAATTCTCAAGACCCTTGGTTCGATTTTTTCTATCGAAAAAAATTCTCAGGACCCTTGGGTCGATTTTTTTTTTGTATCGGAAAAAATTCTCAAGACCCTTGGGTCGATTTTTTTCTATTGAAAAAAATTATCAGGACCCTTCTATGTTTCTAAGGATATTGTGTGTAATTATCCTTCTCATATCCTCCACCTTTGCAATAAATTTTATATTTTCATTCTTTTATACTTTCTTGTTGGCCCATATATCCCATTATAAGTTCATTGTCCTGAACACTCCTTTATGCAATCAGAATATGACCGTTGGGTTGTCGTACTCTCGTCAACGCCACCATCGACGACATCATCAACATCATCCGCATCGTTGCCAATGACAAAGTCTTGGTTGGTGTTTGGGGAGTAATCCTTTTGCCACCCTTGGTAGCAGAGGGGGTTTGCGGAGGGCCATAGCGTAACATAAAAATACGCTTCAAGTAAATTGTTGTCCTTCTTTTCTTTATTTTCTCTCTCTCGACATGTAATCCTGAGTGTTTATATATTATCCTGGATTTTTCATAGTCCTTTTTTCATAATTTTTCCTTGTTTTTTTTTCAAAACAATTCTTGGCCTGTTTTCCATGGCAATTTTTTTGTCGAAAGGAATTTCCATGGAAATTCTGTTAGCCCCACACAATCATGTCGGTGATGAGGTCCTTCGCCTCTTCCTCCTCCTACCTTGGCTGCCATTCATTCCATTGACAAATGTTTACCGAGTAGTATGTATGTATGAGTGTGTGTGTGAGTTGTGACATTAGACTTCCTGTTCCTTGAATGCATTTCTAATGACTATGGGTCGGTCGTGCCATAATTATGATGACGGAATGGCAGATAAATGATCTGCCATGGATTCAGTGAATTCAGCAAACGAGGCGGGTTAATCAGTTGTCATTAAATAAAAATTGAAAAGCAAATTTAAAACAAAGAAATGGGGAAATAATTAGAAAAAAAATCGACCCAAGGGTCTTGAGAATGGAAAATAATCGAACCAAGGGTCTTGAGATTTTTTTGAAAGAGAAAAATCGACTCTAGGGTCTTGAGAATTTTTTCCGATAGAAAAAAAATCCGAAGGTCTTGAGAATTTTTTTCGAAAGAAAAAAATCGAACCAAGGGTCTTGAGAATTTTTTTCTACAGAAAAAACTTGGACCCAAGGGTCCTGAGAATTTTTTTCTATAGAAAAAACTTGGACCCAAGGGTCCTGAGAATTTTTTTCTATAGAAAAAACTTGGACCCAAGGGTCCTAAGAATTTTTTCCTATAGAAAAAACTTGGACCCAAGGGTCCTGAGAATTTTTTTCTATAGAAAAAACTTGGACCCAAGGGTCCTGAGAATTTTTTTCTATAGAAAAAACTTGGACCCAAGGGTCCTGAGAATTTTTTTCTATAGAAAAAACTTGGACCCAAGGGTCCTGAGAATTTTTTTCTATAGAAAAAACTTGGACCCAAGGGTCCTGAGAATTTTTTTCTATAGAAAAAACTTGGACCCAAGGGTCCTGAGAATTTTTTTCTATAGAAAAAACTTGACCCAAGTGTCTTGAGAATTTTTTTTCTACAGAAAAAACTTGACCCAAGGGTCTTGAGAATTTTTTTCTATAGAAAAAACTTGGACCCAAGGGTCTTGAGAATTTTTTTCTATAGAAAAAACTTGACCCAAGGGTCTTGAGAATTTTTTTCTATAGAAAAAACTTGACCCAAGGGTCTCACGAATTTTTTTCTATAGAAAAAAACTTGGACCCAAGGGTCTCACGAATTTTTTTCTATAGAAAAAACTTGGACCCAAGGGTCTCACGAATTTTTTTCTATAGAAAAAACTTGGACCCAAGGGTCTCACGAATTTTTTTCTATAGAAAAAACTTGGACCCAAGGGTCTCATGAATTTTTTTCTATAGAAAAAACTTGGACCCAAGGGTCTCACGAATTTTTTTCTATAGAAAAAACTTGGACCCAAGGGTCTCACGAATTTTTTTCTATAGAAAAAACTTGGACCCAAGGGTCTCACGAATTTTTTTCTATAGAAAAAACTTGGACCCAAGGGTCTCACGAATTTTTTTCTATAGAAAAAACTTGGACCCAAGGGTCTCACGAATTTTTTTCTATAGAAAAAACTTGGACCCAAGGGTCTCACGAATTTTTTTCTATAGAAAAAACTTGGACCCAAGGGTCTCACGAATTTTTTTCTATAGAAAAAACTTGGACCCAAGGGTCTTACGAATTTTTTTCTATAGAGTCTTTAGATTTTTTTCTATTGAGAAATCTTCTCAAGGGTCTTGAAATTTTTTTCCATTGAAAAATCGTCTCAAAGGTCTTGAGATTTCTTTTTTCATAGAAAAATCGTCTCAAGGGTCTTGAGATTTTTTTTTCTATAAAAAAATCGTCTCAAGGGTCTTGAGATTTTTTTTCTATAAAAAAAATCGTCTCAAGGGTCTTGAGATTTTTTTTCTATAAAAAATCGTCTCAAGGGTCCTGAGATTTTTTTTCTATAGAAAAATCGTCTCAAGGATCTTGAGATTTTTTTCCAAAGAAAAATCGTCTCAAGGGTCTTGAGATTTTTTTACAGTTTTTTATTTTTAATTTTTTTCAATGTTCGAAATTTTTTTAACCCCCCTTTCCCTTGTTCTTCTTTTCTAGAATGTGGTGGACTATTACTGGCAATTTTGGTAATATTTTACCCATTGATTGGTCCAAATCATATACACGTAAAATGCATATGCCTACCTTGAATTTAGGTCAAAATACCAACAACAAAAATCAACTAGGAGGAGGAGGTTGTGGTTCCTCAGATGCCCAAACGCCAGCCGATGATCTCAACAGTGAAGATGATGAAGCCATTGCCAATGATTTGGATATGCATGCCCTGATTTTGCATGGCCTCAACAATGAACCCGAAGAACCCATTAAATCTGTCGAAGAGGTCATCAAGGAAATTGAATATATTATCGATGAGGCTGAGAGTCCCACAGATGAGGCCACCACCTGTGAATCGGAGGTTATGGAAAAGGCCAAGGAGGTGTTGGGGGCACCACTATATGCGGAGAGTAAGTTCAGGATCATTGCGGGAGATTGGAATTTTTTATTAATTTCTTGATTTTTCTTTGCAGAATTACAATACTTGTCCATCAACCAGCTAAATGAGCTCTATATGGAAATGGAGGTGTTGATCCAGGAGCTCAGCGAAACCCTCATCAATGAATTGGCATTGCGCGATGAATTGGAATTTGAAAAGGAATTGAAAAATTCATTTATTTCAATACTGCTGGCAGTACAAAACAAACGCCGCCAATATCATGTGGAAAAGAAACGGGGCAAATTCCAGGGACCGGAGCCCAAATATTTGACCACCGTCATACCCTATACCATGGAGAATGGCACACCCAACAATCAAAATTTACAAGTTTTAATTAAAAGTAAGTAACACGTCACTATCCTCCAGGGAATAAAAAATTAATTATTTTTTCTCTCTTGCAGTTTTAAAAGCCATCAATGAGGATAGCCCCACAGTACCCACACTCTTAACAGATTACATTTTGAAGGTCCTTTGCCCCACATAAATCCAGCAAGGAAGCGGCGGCCGAGCCAGCAAGCAAATTTTCCCATTAACGGAATAGCATAAATAGAAGCATAAACAAAACAGCAACAAATTAACCCAAAAAAACCAAAAACAAAAAATTAGTTTTAAGTATTTTTTTATTTGTAATTTTTTTCTAAATGAAATTTACTCTCCCCCCTTTCTCCTTTTTAAGAAAAAAAATGAGATTTTTTTGTCTAGAGAATAGAAATTTAAACCAAAAAACAAAATAAGAAAATAAATAAAAGAAACAAATTCAAAATAAATCCCATTTATCAAATAATTTTACATTTAAGAAGACAATGTGTATATTGGAATTGAAAAAAATATATAAATTTTGTAAAAAAATAGAATTTTAAGAAATAATTGTGTAAACTGCTCTCTCTCCCTTAAGAGAGAGTCATAAGAAAAAAAGTCAAATTCGTTTCATGATGAAATACCTAGTAAAAATATGTTGTCCGGAATAAATACCCAATATTGAAAACAAATTTTGTAAACTTTAAAATCCCATAATTTTTTATCGCTTTATTTAATAAAATAAGCGAGATATTGAGAAAATACAAAAGTCCCTAAAATTGCCCATAATAAATTTTCTAAAAAAGGGCAAATTCGTTTCATGACGAAATATGAAGTAAAAATATGTTGTGTCCGGAATAAATGCACAATATTGAAAGCTAATTTTGTATACTTTAAAATCCCATATTTTTTGTCCTCATATCTCAACAAATAACCGAGATATCGAGAAAATACAAAAGTCCCTAAAATTTCCCATTTTTTCGATGAATTGATTTTCAAAAAAAAGTCAAATTCGTTTCATGACGAAACACATACTAAAATATGTTGTGTCCGGAATAAATCCACAATATTGAAAACAAATTTTGTAAACTTTAAAATCACATATTATTTTGTCCTCATATCTCAACAAATAACCGAGTTATGGAGAAAATACAAAAATCCCTAAAATTTCCCATTTTTTAGTGGCATTAATTTTCTAGGGACCATAACTTCTAAAGTAGAAGATATATTGTAATGATCGAACATGATTTTGAAAGTTGACCATGTCAACTAAATAACATATAAATTTCAAAAATGTAGCTCATCAAATACCGAAATAAGAGGGAAATTTGAAAATGTTCATTTTTTCTATTACTGTTAATTATTCTTTAATAATGTAATAATATTCCAAGGCCCACAACTTCAAAAGTAATAGGCATATTGTAAGGAAATGGCACGATTTTGAAAGATGAACATGTCAACTAAAATACATATAAATTTCAAAACTGTAACTCACCTAATACCAGAGTTATGAGAAAATTTGAAAATGTCCACTTTTTCTATTATTGAACATTTTGTGGTAATAATTTGATAATATTGTAAAGTCCATAACTTCGAAAGTAAAATGTGTATTGCAATGAACAAACATGATTTTGAAAGATGAACATGTCTACTAAAATACATATAAATTTCTCAATTGTAGCTCATCTAATACCAGAGTTATGAGAAAATTTGAAAATGACCACTTTGTCTATTATGAACATTTTGTGGTAATAATTTAATAATATTCGAAGGGCCACAACTTCTAAAGTAATAGGTGTATTGCAATGAAATAAAACGTGATTTTGAAAGATGAACACGTCAACTAAAATTCACATGAATTTATAAATCTGTAGCTCATCTAAAACCAGAGTTATAAGAAAATTTGAAAGTAATCACTTTTTTCATTTTTGAATTTTTTTTTTGGTAATAATTTGATAATATTGTAATGCCCATAACTTCTAAAGTAATAGGTGTATTGTAATGAACTAACATGATTTTGAAAGATGAACATGTCAACTAAAATTCATATGAATTTCAAAAATGTAGCTCATCTAATACCAGAGTTATGAGAAAATTTGAAAATGTCCATGTTTTCTATTTTTTTGATTTTCGGTAATATTTAGATAATATTCTGAGGGCAACAACATCTAAAGTAAGAGGCGTATTAAAATGAATGTCCATGATTTTGAAAGATGAACATGTCAAATACAATTCATATGAATTTTAAAACTGTAACTCACCTAATACCAGAGTTATGAGAAAATTAGAAAATCTAATTTTTCCACCAATTTGTGTGGTAATAATTTCGGGATTACTTTTCTCGGGGCTGATAACTTCCAAGGTATTGGGTATATTGTTGTGAAGTAAACTGATTTTTATAGATGAACATGTCAACTAAAAATACATATAAATTTCTCAACTGTACCTCATCAAGTATCGGAGATATGTGAAATTTTGAAAATGTCCACTTTTTTCTATTATTGAAAAATGTTCTTTAATAATTTCACTGAGACCATCATTTTTGATACAATGGCTGTATTGAAATGATATAACTTGATATTTGAAATGAAGATTATCTGGTATTCTAGTTTATAAATAAATATATTCGAAAAGTTAAGCAAATTCCAAGATATTGTAAATTAAAAAAAATCCCCTTATTTTCCCCATTGTTTTTCAAGGTACATTTTCAAAAGCCTTATAACTTCCATACTAATGGATATATTGTCGTGAAATAAATTGATTTTGATAGATGAATATGTGATCTAAATATAAATGGAAATTTCATAACTCCAACTCATCTAATGTCGGAGATATGGGAAATTTTGAAAATGTCCTCTTTTTTCTATTATTTGAAAATTTGTTGGTAATAATTTTTTAGGTACCATAACTTCTAAAGTAGTGGTTGCATTGTCGTGAAATAAATTGATTTTGATAGATGAATATGTAATCTAAATATAACTGGAAATTTCATAACTCCAACTCATCTAATGCCTGAGATATGAGAAAAATTGAAAATATAATTTTTTTAAATTTTTTGGAATATTTTTTGGTAATAATTTTTTATGTATCATAACTTCTAAAGTAGTGGATATATTGTTGTGAAATAAATTGATTTTGATAGCTATACACTTGAGCTAAAATTCATATATTAATAAATAAACTGTAACTCTACAAATGCCAAAGATATGAGAAAATTTGAAAATAGTATTTTTTTCCTACTATTTTCTTTTTTTCTATGGAGATCATAATTTCTCATGTATCGAATGGACATATTGCCCTGAGATAAATTAATTTTGAAAAGAGAAGAAGAAGAATCATTTAAGGATATAAAGGAAAGAATATAAAGAAGAAGAATCACTTAAGGAACATCATTTCTTAAATTTCTTTAAATTTTAAATTTCTTTAGAAAATTGCAATTCCCTTGAGAAAAAAAATCCACACCATAGCAAAGATATTCATTGAGAAACAATAATTCAAAATTCTAAATTTCTATAAAATTCTAAAATTAATTTATTATTTTTTTTTTCAATTCCATAATAATTCTAAAATTCATATAATAAGTTTTTTCAATTCCAATATACACCATTTTCCTTCACTGAGAGAAAAAAAAATAATATTAGAACAAATTAAAAAAAAAACTATTCAAAAGACAATTAAAAAATTCTAAAAATATGAAGTGAATGCTTTTAAATAATATTAAAAAAAAAACAATATACAAATATTTTTTTTAATTTCAATATTTAAAAAATACTTACCTAGGAGATAACAACAACAAAAAGTATTTTATACTGCCTCTATTTCACTTTTTTCGATATTAAAGAAGAAGAAGTCGAATAAAACCCCAATGAAAAATATTTGAAAAAAGCATTCATAAAATAAAAAATTTTAAAAAAAGGATTTGTTCTAAACAAAAAATAATAAAAAAATTAAAAGAATTTAATTTTAAAACATAATGAAAAACAAAAAAAACTAAACCTTAGAATGGAGGGATTTGGAAAGGCTATATTTTTAAATCACAAAAAAATTTCTATAAGGAGTCCCATAGACTTCCGAAAAAAATATTGAAGGCATCTATGGACCCCTCCACTATGATGACATTGTGATTTTTAAATATATATACAGTCTGTCAAGTAAATGTTGTGACATGGATACATTTTCCACATTTTTTTAAATTGAAATCTCTTCTTTATCCGATGATAAATAAATTTTGTTATCAGCCACACCATTTTCCTGATAGACTGCCTAGGTCAGCGCCTTCTTCTCTCCATTCTCTTGCATATATATTTTTTTAAATACTCAGCCTAATTAATTAAAAAAAAAATAAAATAAAAATTAATAAATAAATAAAAATAAATAAATAAAACCTAAAACAAAAATATTTATTCTTATATACACAAAAACAAACATATTTTTATTAATTATTTTTTTTTTCTTTTGAAGCTTATTAATAACTAAGTGTGCAAAACAAATGCTTTTTTATTACAAAAATAAAAAAATAAATATAAATATTAATATAATAATTGTTGATAAATATTTATATACAAAAAAAATAAATAAAAAAACAACTCTCACAAACAAATGAAATATTTAAACGAATTTGCATTTTCTGGTTTCTAAGCTTCTTAAAAAAATCAAATTATTTTTTTGCAATATTTTATTTGAATTTTTCTAAAAAAAATATTCTTTTTTTCTGTTGTTGTGTAAAAAAATTATTATATTTTTATTTCAATATTTTTTTAATGTAAAAAGTTGTTTTTATTATTATTATTATTATTATTATATTTTTTTTGTGTTTCTAATTTTTGTAAGTGTGTATGTGTGTTGATATTTTATTTTTGTATTTAATTATAGGTATAAGCTTTAAATAAATAAAGAAAATAATTAAAAAAATAAAGAAAAAAATCATCTAATGGTTATCATTAATTATATAATTTTTAAAGATTATTAAAAAAATATTTTTTTTTAATAAAAAAAATTATTAAAAAATTATTCTTTATTAAAAATTATTTTTTTAAAAAAAAAAAAATTATAAATTTTCCGATATAAAAAAAATATTTTTATTAAAAACAGTAAAAAATAATAAAAAATAGATTTTTTTAATATCGAAAAAATTTATTGTTATTAAAAACTTTATTTTTTTAATTAAAAAAATAAAAAAAATATTTTTTTTTA